AGCTTAGGATATGGTGAGTTTTTAGGAAGGAAGGAGAAAGGGGGAAAGAGAGTAGTGTTTGGTGTATGGGTTTAATTCCTCGAGTATAGTATATCTTGGAAAATGACACTAGAACAGGAGGGATTGGAGGCCTTTTTTTTTTGTTCACTCACTAGTCAAAACAAATATACCACTAATAAATATAAATGAGAAAAGTTGTCCCGTTACGGTACCATCCTGTCGGGTATATTTTACCGTTGAATCTATATGTAGATGGATTCAATGGTTAAAACACCAGACGGGATGTACCGTAACGAGACCGTAACATTTCCTGAAATAAATATAAATAGTATAAAATGGGCACAAGGAAAATTAATAATAAATAATTCGAAATACAAAAAAAGATATATGGTCACCTTTTTTTATACCCTTTTTTTCGAACTCTAGTCGAACAAATTTACTGCTAATAAATGTAAATAGTAAATAAATATAAATGGTATAAAATGAGCACAAAAAAAATTAATAATGATAATTTGGAATACAAAAAAAAGATATATGGTCACCTTTTTTATGACCTTTTTATTCACTCACTAGTCAAAGCAAATATACTACTAATAAATATAAATATATATATATATAAATATATATATATATTAAAAGCCAACCTATTTACCAAAAATAGTAGCAAGAAAAGTCAACACACATTTAATGCATACTTTATTTGGAAATTTTTTACTATATGCATTAAATGCTTGCATATTTACATTTATTATCCAGATATGATCTTAAAGATTTTTTCCTTAAATAATTTATGCAATGATTTTACTGATATCCATTATAATTAATATTTGTCGAGTAATATTTTTTAACCTTTATTTAATTATATAAAACTAATATTTTTAAAAAAATTATATTATTTATCATTTAAAAGATAACGATCACATCATTAAATGATTTTATTGATGGTTAGATAATAAAATTATATTAGTTATTCTTTGAAATTTTTACTACAATAAAAACAGGCTTAAGAAAAAAAAAATTCCATAACATCCAGTAAGTCAAAAAAAAGTACGTAAAATCTTTACTAAAATAAAAAAGACTTTATTTATTTGTCTTATTCCATAATAACATTGATTTAGTCAAAACAAATCCCATAATCGGTGAAGTCAAAAAATGTACGTAAAGCCTATTTATACTAAAAAAAAAACAGATTCAAAATTCCTTATCTAATTTCTGTTTAAAGCATTTTATTTAATATTTATTTATATGAAATATTGGATAGGATTGCTGAATCTGGGTCAATTTTGAAATCGCGTTGGTTTGGTATGAGAGGATTATCCGCATCCTATATCTGTCTAAAGCATATTATTTTATATTATTTAATTAATTTATTTAATATTAAATTTTTTTATCCATGATATCAGTTTTGTCAAAAAATTGAACAAACAAACAAATAGAAAAGAAACGGGATTAATTACCTTCGACTTGTAAAAAATTTATGGGTGGACGTAAATATTTAACAATGATGTTTCAAGTTCCTTAAATAATACTATAACTTTGATGTTGAAATATAATCTGTTTTATGAGCGACGTAAATATGCTGTTTAAAGTTCCCTAAAATAATTTTTTTTAAAAAAATTATGTTGTTTAAAGTTCCCTAAAATAATTTTTTTTAAAAATTATGCTGTTTAAAGTTCCTTAATTTTCCTGCGTACTATAATATATGATTTTTTTATGAGGTCTTTAATAATATATGATTTTTTTTGTCAGATACTATTTTATTGTATAATTTTCCTGCGTACTATAAAACTTTTATTGAATATTACATTTAATAATATAATATTTCCTAAATAAATATATCCCGTGTCTCGCACCGGTCCCGTACTATATATATCCCGTATATTTTTTATTCATTTATATAATTATAAGGCTGGATAAATAACCTTAAAATTGTGCACCTCGTGCATCGCACGGACTCTGTACTAGTAGTATAAAATGAGCACAAGAAAAATTAATAATAAATAGTTTGGAATACAAAAAAGCTATATGGTCACCTTTTTTTATGCCGTTTTTTATTCACTCACTAGTCAAAACAAATATACTACTAATAAATATAAATAGTATAAAATGAGCACAAGAAAAATACTAAGCTAACAATTCTATTTATAGCCACACCTCAGACACACACCAAAACACACATATTCAAATATCAGAACTAGCGAGCAACATCAATTTCACGAGCAAAACATGAATTTTCGCCCAAGTCGTGAGTGTTTTCTTGTGCATAGGTGTTGGGGTACTCACGGGCAAGAGGAAAATTCGCGAGTTAGGCATTGATTTTCGCGCGTACTGTCCGAAAACTTGCGAGCTAGACCACACTCGCGAGCTGGGCGAAATCGGATTCGGGGGCGCAGACGACAGCTGTTGGCAGCACTGGAGGACGTGGTTCTTGAGACTTTGTCAAGGCATTGGCGGATGAATTCTCCGGGGACTTTTTTGATGATTTTCCGGCGACTCTGGAATGCAAAATCCTACAAAATAAAAGATAAAAAAATAAAAGCTCAAGACACGAAAACAACACGAAAATACAAAAATGAGCAAAAATGACTAAATGAACCGGGAAAAAGTTAAAATAAAATAAACAAACACAAAAACATAAAAAAACACACAAAATAACAACAAAAAACATACAAAATATATATCTACACATAATCCTTAATTGAACGCTGCTGCATTTCATCAGAGTTCATCGTACTTGAATACTTCTGTTGATGAGTGTTTGTGAGGATTTATTTTTGGGTTTATTGTAAATTGTTTTCTAGTATTTTTACACCACTGAAGAACTGTATTTTGTTTTCTTATTTATAAACTCTTTTTGTACTTAGCGATTAAGTACTAGTACAATTGTGAGGGATCCTTAACTAGTTATAAGTCCACACGTTCGTGGCCAGAGGATTAATTAATTGGTTTGAGTATAGTGTTGACAAGACTAGAAGTGAGTTCGGGATGTGTACCTCCAAGCTGTACTTTGTGCGCAAACTGAGCTATTAATGAAAGAGCTCGGATGGGGGTAGCGAGACACTCCCCGATGAGATTTTATTTTTGGTGATTGTGTACTTTTTTTTTTATTTCCAATATGCGTTTGAGTAACACGAAACAACTTCAACATTTTATGCGATTCAGGTCTTCCTTGTTAGCAAGGTCATTAAAGCTAATGAAAGATATTTGGGTCATAATCCTGCTAACCAAAAGGATCAAGGACGTACATGCACCCACATGGATGGTACTATGCATGAGCACATTGGAGGCAAGGTTGTTGGAGAAGTTTGTCATTTAGTGTTGCTAATAGAAAATAGACAAGTGTCCATTAATCTAGATTGTTTCTTGGTGTGTAAAAGGCAAAATAGAAATCAGAGAGAAAGTGAGATTGTAATATTCATTTGCGCAACTTTTGGAAAAATGAAACCCTATCATTGATCTCATAATTTTCTTCATGTTTTTATTCTTGTTTTCAACATGGCATCAGAGCCATAAAGTTTTCTGATTTCTTTCTTCAATCATTACACCATGGCCGACATTCATACTGCTACTGTGTTGGATCTCATCCTGGGGATCAAACCACTCATCTTTAGGGGCAGCTCATTAGTATCAAACTCACAGATGACAACTATCTTCTCTGGGAACAGCAAGTCCTTGCAGCCATACGAGGCTATGGTCTTGAAAGCTACATCAATGGTGAGCTCACAGCTCCTGAAAATATCACAACGACTTCAAAAGAGGCTTTGCTCATCCCCGAATGGAAAGAGAAATGGAAGCTGAATACTCAACACTTCTTTTGAGAACGTGAACATGAGCGGTAGACTAAACACCCACACAATCTCGATTTGACAATTTAAGAAATTACAGAATTGACTGTTTGATGCAATGAGACCGTTCATCTTACTAAAGCAGAGAGGATACCCGGACACGACCTTTCGCACAATGGAAATGGTACTACTGTGTCCCTAAGGGCCCCGAGAGAACTGAATTAGAACATCTTTCTCTATGATAATTTGAGAGTCAAAAGGGAACCGAAAACATTGATTTTTTGTGAGAGCAATGATGAATCGAGCCGCATCACATCAACTATAGAAATTAACATACGCTCTTGTTGCGTTGCTTTCCATTGTTTCAACCCTTCCCGGTAAAATGCAAGTATCCGCTGATACCGGATCGGATCACGAAGAAAGGGGAACAGCTTTCGCACTAGCAGAATGGGTACCACCGTCAAAACGGATTGAGAGGATCGATGTAATTGAGAAAGGAGAAGGCATGTTTGGCCTGGGATTCTTACCTCAGTGCCGTATGATAGGTCAGTCATTGGAAATAAATGGGTTTTAAGGTCAAAAGAAACTCAGATGGATCTGTGGCCAAGTGTAAAGCCAGGTTAGTAGCTAAAGGGTATAACCAATGCCCTGGATTAGACTACACTGAGACTTTTAGTCCAGTTGTTAAATCGGATACCATAAGAATTGTTTTGTCTTTGGCTGTTACACAAGGGTGGACCATAAAACAGCTTGATATAGATAATGCCTTTCTTAATGGGGACATTGATGCAGACATTTACATGGAGCAACCAAGTGGCTTTGAAGTGCATGGTCAAACTCCCTTAGGTTGGAAACTTAACAGATCCTTGCATGGATTAAAGCAAGCTTCTCGTGCTTGGACAAGCAAATTCTCCAATGTCCTCCTCAGTATGGGTTTCTCCACATCAAAGTCTGACTCTTTCTTATACATGAAGCATGGTCCCAATTCTACATTGCTTCTTATGGTTTATGTGGATGACATTATTCTCACAGGTTCCAATGACAAGGAGATTCATGATTTTATTACATCACTGCATTCCCATTTTTCCCTTAGAGATCTTGGCTTCCTCAGTTATTTTCTTGGCATACAGACTTCTTACACATCTCAGGGTTTATTTCTCACTCAAGGGAAATATATTGCTGATTTAATTGACAAAGCAGGGATGAAGGGGGCAAAAGGTGTTGCACCTATGATTTCAACCCCAGCTTTATCAAAATTCACAGGCCAGCCATTGGAGGATCATAGACTTTACAGGCAAATTGTAGGTGCACTACAATATGTGACACTCACAAGGCCAGATATTAGTTTCTCAGTGAAAAAATGTTTAGTAAAATTTTGGTGTGGGTAAAGGATAACCGAGTTACCCGACTTGGGTCGATCTCGAGTGAAGGCTATTAGGAGCTTCACTTACTAATTGATTGTCCAATTCACAAAAAGAGAAAATAAAGTTCTAAACATTCTAAGCAATTGATTGGAGGGTTGATTATCACTAAACGAGCACTTGAAAACGAGCAATTAACTAAAAGCAATATCAAATCACGAGCAAGTAGCAAACTAGATCATCAGAGTCTCATGCCATAACCATAACGAGATGATAATCAATCGACATAAGGAATAAACGAGCTATGAGCATTACATTGCTAACCCTAGTCATCTAACCCTAAGTTATTAAGCCCTAATTGGTTATTAATCCTTAAACGATATCAACAAGCAATTAACTCCTCTATCTACTCAAGCAAGCAATCAAGTACAAGCATTTCCTCCATCATCAATCGAATCCAAATTTACCCTAATGAACATTATAAGTAAAAACGGAGCAAAAACCGAAGTAAAGAGCTTTAAAACTAAATACTCATCCTTCCATTGCGTAGACGATGAAAAATAGAGTCAAAAGCTCGAAACTTGAAAAAAACCGAAGTCGCCGGAAAATCTCCCGGAAAATAGCATAAGCTCCTAATCTAGAGAGCAAAATAAAACATAACATAAGTTCCCAAAAAAGGAAAAATGAAATAATGAGTAGTGGATATTCAAAATACAAAGGAAGAAAAATATTTATACTACCACCCAAAACACACACTAAAACCTAATTCGGTCGGTTCGGTTTTTAAAAAATATCAATTCGGTTTTTTCGGTTTTTATGGTTCGGTTCGGTCGGTCGACCGAACCGACCGATGAACACCCCTAGTCAAGGATGCTTGGACAGTGGAGTATATGAGAATGATGTGCGCCGGCGGCAGGACCAGGAGCTACGATTCGAGTGTCTCGCAGTTGAACGATGTGTGTTGGTGTATTTTTGCATTCTTGGTGATCCCTTTATTTTGTTTATGGCCTAAAATATGTTCTTTATTGCTTTGGACCTAAAAAGATAAAAAAACACTGGATTTTGTTCGCTGCCCGCGGGTAAGGCAGAAGATAATCATTTAGTTCAATGTTGTAACATAAAGAAATAATGATATGATTATCAATTTTATTCTTGTTATTCCTTACTTATGTTATCGAACTATATGAGTATAGGTATGCACTATGTAATGTCTATAGCAAGAAATATTCAGAATTATCATTCGGATTCCTTGATCTACAAATTTACCTTGAAAAGATACTACTATAGCCAAGCTTGCTTGTCATTGTTAATCCTTTTTTAACATTAATGCAGTAATATAGTGCCTGAGTACAGCTTCTTGGATGCTCGGGGTTTGGGAGTGTATGAAGGAAAGAAGCTCGACTTTGTCTCGGTGGTTCGGTTGAAAAAAAATGAAAAATTAAAACTAAAAAATCCAACTCCTAAAACAACCAACACGTATTGACTACTACATATGCACTTGGAATAGATGAATATTTCTAACATAAGGGCTACGGATTAGTGAAGTAAAGAATGACGAAAAGTATGGTACAAGAAAGATATTTGTAGTGTATATTTTCTGACATATACATAGCTCTTAGCCAATGGGAAGCACTCTTAATTTAGTTTAAATAAAAAAAAAAGTTACAAAAGAAAATCAGAAAACTTAGTTACCAGGAAGAACACAATCCGTCCAGGAAGGTACCCACTAATGTTGTTCCCCTGTCCCACAAAACACAATACCATTCTCAATTTTTCCTTCCAGCTTATTAATGTTATGTTAGAAGAGATAAAGTAGAATAGTGAACTTGGAATTGACTAATAATTAACTGTGTTCTTGTGCTTTGTGTTCCATATATAATTGAGCTATATCCCCGGCTCCTGACATGTTAATTGGACTCCGATGTGCATGATAACTAATGCCTCTATTCAAACATATCATGTTATTTATTTTATTTCGGTTATTGTAAGCTACATTTGTTGTAAAGATCTCTTTGTTTGACAAAGGTGCTTAGTTTTCATTTTCTTTGTAAATCTACTGCTCTGATATTTCTGATAAATAATAAACTACTACCAAACAATTTCAGATGCCTAATCTTGCTTTGCTTATATATGTGTGCGCGCATGTGTGTGCGTAATTCAGTCTTTAGATCATCTCTACATGCTTATGAAGATGGTGGATGGGAGAACATATTCGATGAATGTTTTCCTCGTCCATTAAATAGTATGATGTGAAAGCAAATCCATTTAATCAACTTCGTTAGATATAATAACCGGTTGCCTTTTATTACAGGTTGCAGCTAGACAAACTGCCAGTACTGGTATGGTTGCTTTGAGCTATGTTCAGAAAGTATCTGAAAAGGTAAACTGGTTTCTGGTTCATTTCATTTTATGTAAATCTGGTTTTGTTTCTTTCTTCCTTTTCTTTCTTATGCTTCTTTATTGTTTTGTTTGATTTTGTCAACTAAAAGGTTGTCCTTTAATATTTATTTAGGTTTCTCTAGCATCAGACTTCATGTACAACGCTATGTCAAGGGATGTCACAGCTAGCTTTGGATATGATTATATTCTACGCCAAGTATATTGTATACATTGAACAAGTATCTTCCTCTTGCATGCATTTAGCAAAAACAAAACTTTTTTTTGTTTTTGTTATTGTTTTTGTTTTTTTTTTTAAAATCCCAAGTATTTTTGGTGTGTTTGCAGTGTCGTTTAAGAGGAAAGATAGATTCTAATGGTGTCGTGGCAGCTTTCCTGGAGGAACGTTTTAATATGGGCCTCAACTTTATCCTTTCGGCTGAGGTGAGGAAAAACGGCTTAAACTACCACACTTCGTATCCTTTACTTTTTTCTTTTTGCTCGTGTAATTATGTGTTGGACATTTATGTCTTGCAGATTGATCACAAGAAGAAGGATTACAAGTTTGGATTTGGACTGAGTGGGAGAATAGATTATGCACTTCCCATGGGTGTTTTCCATTTCAGCTGATTGTTTGGGTTCGTTCGGTTTCTTATGTTCGTTCGATAAGAATCATTATAGAATCGTTTTTCGTATCTGCCGAATGACATTACTCATATATACGAGATTCAAATTTATTTTTGTTGGTTTTGCAGGTTGGTCCGATTATTTTTTTTAGTTAAACTGGGAGAAAGTACATGTTTGGCTGGATATTAAAATCGAAGCATTTTGTTTGGCTGAATAATTTTTTTTTCCCGAGCAAGTTTGTAATTATTTTTCAACATAAATAGGGTCTAGTTTTGTATCCATTGTTTCTGAATACTTATTAAAGGCAAAATGATTTGATATCTCCAAACTTTGTATAACAGCCCATAGTGTAATCAACTATTGGAGTGCTCTACATGGAGATAATACTTTAGCAGTTCACCAGTGCTCTACAATAGTGTAATCAATAATTTATAATACTTTAGAAATTATAAAAACTTTGTCTTTCAAACTTTGTGTTCAAAATATTACATACCAGTTCGATTATGACAAATTTTCAGTGTATTGTTAGACTGGATTTAAGTCAGCCGTGCGTGTACACATGTTATGATTGGACAATTTGGTATCTGTTTTCTAGCAAGTGGGTTGACGAGGTTATTCTTAATGCCCCATGGGTTATTAATCATGAGTTCCTGGACAAGCATCATATTGATTACGTGGCTCATGATTCTCTTTCGTAAGATACTTTTATCTGTAAATATTCAAATCAAACTCTAGAATTCGTGATATCTTACGTTTATTGGAAAATACCAGTTGAATCACTCTTGCTATTTCTTTTTTGAGTTGTAGAATAAAAGCTGCAACAAATTATGACAAATTTTTACAGTAATTTTACATCGGGTGTTAGACCGCCGTGCGTGCACGGCGTAAACCCATCTAGTATATATATATATATATATATATATGTGAAAATATATCCTCAAAATCTAGAGGGATGTTTGGGGTATGATCTTATATAGTCATTGGCCTTGTTTGGCAGTTAGCGGTTAGCTGTTAGCTGTTAGCGGATTGCATTAGCTGTTTTGACTAGTGGATGGTGTTAGTTGTTTTGACCAGCTGATTGTTTTAGCGGTT